TTCCCTGTCGCCGTCCCGGCCGCGGGGACGCGACAAAAGCCGAGCCCGTGGCCGAGCAGAGGCTCCGGCCCCGCCCCGGGCCCGGCCAGCCCCGGCTGGGAGGGGAAGGAGCTGGGGAGCGGCCCGGGGAGGCTCCCGGACACTCCCGCAGAGCTGCGGCACCGCAACCAGCGCCTGGCAACGCCAATAATCTGGTTTTTAACTAGCCCGGCGGCTCGGCTGAGGTTTTGCAGCCACGGACGCAAGAGAAAATGGCAGCTGTTCTTCGGCGTCCTTTCAAAGGGAACACAAATTTAAGAGGCGAAGAAATAAAAACAAGGGACCAGCGGGCAGCAGCACGGCTGTCCAGGCTGCGTTTACTGTCTGCTATCCTGATATCCTAACTGGGACCAAGGCCAAAATGCTTTGGAAATGGAAAGGATCTCAAAGTCATCCCACATGCTCAGAAAAATAAAAGTAAGGAGTATCATAAATAGAATTAATCCAGCCTGGTATTTGCCTGATCCAGGTGGATGCAGCCCAGGCGTGGAGCAAAGTGCATCACCATCTACAGGTGCCTGCAAATATTACACAGCAGCATTTCACATACTGCGACTAACGAAACGGCCCCTTCAGCGACAAAAACAGTGAGGCGAAACCTGAACACCACTTGCAATAACTCAAACAGAACTAAAAATCGTGCATTAAAGAAATAAATTAAAAATCAAACTTGCTGTATTCATAGCAAAATGAACTGCTGTCAACCTTTCTGAAAACTAGCTGAGGCACCTCAAGCATTTACACAGATTTATAAAAAAATTCATAGCTGGAACATTCAAACTTTACCCACCCAACATAATTGCTCTAGCTGAAAAGGGCTGATTAAAAGGGACAGATGCTGTAAAAAAATAGATGGTTACACATTCCAAAGGAAAAAAAAAAGAAATTTTTGAAGGATAAATTGACTGTCCAACACTGCAGCAGCTCATGGTATAATTCCTGGGATGTCAGCCCTGCCCAAATGCAGCACATAGTAAAAGCCAGAAGAAAAAACAGTTCTGTAGGCACAGGATGCCCAGAGAAGCTGTGTCTGCCCCAGCCCTGGGAGTGTCCAAGGCCAAGCTGGATGGACCTTGGAGCAACCTGGTCTGGTGGAAGATGTCCCTGCCCATGGCAGGGGCTTGGAACAGGATGATCTGAAAGATCCCTTCCAACCCCCATCATTCTGGAATTCTCTGAAGGGGGATAGGAAGCAAATGGGGTTTTACCTTCCTCTGCTGAAAGCCAAACTGCAGTTTGCTGATCTTGAGGTAAAGCTGGCAGCAGAGGCAGCTGCAGGGACCTGCACAGCCCTAGAGTTGATGGGAGGATGCTCAGCTTGTCACTCACAGCTGATTATTCCCAGCAGTTGGTCCTGGTGAGCAGCAAGCACCTGATTAAGGCTCCACCACCTCAGATCAGCTCAGCTCAGGTGCCATCTGAAGAGAAAACAGCACCACAAGAAATGGTGGTGGCTTATTCCACACCCCAAAGCAGCTCGGGAGAAGCAAACATTCACAGGGAACCTCACAATCCAGAATTTAATTTACAGACTCTCCAGGGAAATGCCATGCACCCATATTTTAGTTTTTCCCCCATTTCCATACAGCAATTTCTTCTGCACATCCATCTCTGCACTCTGACAGAAGGCAAGGGGAAAAGAGCCTCTCTCCAGAGCTCAGTATTACACAGTTATGGATTAGATCATTAAATAAAAGAAAGATCTAGAATAAAGGGTATGAGAGGAGTCCTTTTCCCTCCTTCCTTTTCCCCTCACAAAGTCCTATCTATCCCCAGTCTCTTAAAAATACCAGTCCGACACTTGGGATATATGAACTAAGGACTTATTTTCCTAATTTTCAGCTTAAAAAAAATTGTAGGGAAAGATTTGAGGACTTCAGAGAAAGTGCTTATTTTCAACCCTCTTTGGTTCTCCATTGGCTCAAAGTTGTTTGTATTCATTCTTTTGTAAAAGTACATTCATTACATAATCAGAAACACTGAAATCTCCCAGTTATACAAATTCTCACTCTGTTACTATGGCAAACCACTCCAAAAATACAGAGCAGCAGCACAAAAAAGTGCTTGGAACAACAGCTCTCAACTGCCAGTTTCTGCCAGTCAGAGCTTAGAAGCATCTGTAGTTGTTGAACTGTTCATACACAAGCAAGAATCCTGTCCTGCTTCCCGAGCAAACTGGCACCTCAAAAATAGAGATGGAGGAAGGGAAAAATTATTATCAGCACACAATGCTAGGAAACAAAAAACCCCAGAACATCCTCCTCCACAAAACCCTCAAAATAAACCCCAGAAAGCAGTTCTTACAGAATTCAACAACGCTGAAATCTGAAGTTTCAAGTGAGAGACTCGAGTTTAAAGAAAAACACATTTCACACCACCAGTTGATGCTATAGAGCAGGTCAAAGATCCCTGAATTCAGAAGTTCTTCACCTCCTGTCTCTGAAACACTCCCTGTTGGGGCATTAAGAAAAACTCTGCTCAGCCTGAGTAAAGCTCAGCTCTCAGGGGGAGCAGTGACCTGCCCATCCCAATAAAAGCTCAGCAAAGGCAGCCACGAGCACCTGCCAGCTCTACAGACACCCCTCACAACCCAGAATTCATCCCTGGCTCCATGGAAGCAGCTCCTGGGACACTGCCAAAGGCTCAGCCCACGTGCCCAGCAGATGCAGGGCCCTGGGATGCATGGGCAGAAGACCACCTCAGTCTAGGAGTGTTTTATTTCTGTATCCCTGTGGGACACTCTTCTTTCCTTACCAAAAAGGCTCTGGCAAACAAGCTGCATTTTTTGGATATACATGACTGGAGTTAATACCATTAACAACCATTAGCAGAGGAGTAACTGGGAGACAGCAGCAGCAAAGCACTTCACACATTCAGCCCACCACATCTTGGAACTCGAGAGAGACAGACAGGGGAGGGAGGGAGAGATTTAGGCAATCCATCAATGTTGCTTTATTAAAATCTTTACTCACACAATGTTGCTTTATGTGGGATCTGACCCCGGGGTATAGGAGTAGAAAGTCATGATTGCATTCTGTTTGCTTATTAGCAACTCCATTTGTGCAGCAGCTCCCAGGGGCCTCCTCTGGCACATCCTCGAGGGGGGTTTGTTTCCAGCATCCCGCTCCAGCTGCTGCAGTAAATAAATTACCTTCTTAATAAATTAGTACTTTTGAGTTGAAGTTTATTTGGCAAGACACACTCCAGTTCATCAGCTGCTGGAAGAAGAGCTGACTCGAGTGTCTCCTCCCCCTGATGGCTGACTTGGGAAGGAGGAGGTAAATAGCAGATGGCTGATGAGGCTCTTTAATTAGTTCTTGATTTCTGTGCTTCCAGTGCTCTGATATCATTGATAACCATGACACAACCAGTGTGTAACATCTGGGGCCAGTGGGTGACACATACACAGTGAACAAGAATAAGGTGTCTGGAAAACCTCCTCCACAGAGCACCTGCCTTGCAAACAGTGTTAATTTTCAGATTCAAGCAGACCCTGTTGGCACGTGGATGCTGCTCCTCATTTCCTTTGCAACGGTTACAATTTAAAATCTCTCAGGGTTCTGCGTTCAAGCAAAATGACCATCACTGCCAAAAGGGCAGAAATTGCCACAAGGCCAAAACCAGATCTTCCTGTTTTTGGTTTAAGAGAGGAATTTATTTTTCTTTCCTGATGCAGAACACCAACCTCCAGTAGTGTTTCCAGCAAGCAGAAGCATCAATATCACAAATAAAAAAAACAATCCCAAAAAACAACCCTTTCTTGCTTCCTCCTATTGATAATGCTGGACTTCATGCCCTTTGTCCACAAGTAAACCAAAATAAACCGATACCCTGCTTTAAATCTTTGACATTTATACTGGGAAAAAAACTCATGTCAGGTTCCATCTGACAGCAAAAGTTTTAGCTTAAAGCAATATGTAAGTCCTCAACACTAATTTAATTTCAAAGACTGAAAGATCTTTTTTTTGAGCCCATTATTAAATCAAATGTAAATATCAAGAGTGATCACATAGAAATCAAATATTAGATTTTGGTAGATCCCTCCCAAAATATTAAGAACTCATGTTTAAACTCAAAGAGAAGTACATACTTTTAGAAATGCTACAAGCCACCAATCATGTGCTTCACTATTTCCCCTTTGGGTAAATAATATGAAATTTCCTGGGAAACAGCTTAAACCAGCACTTGCTCCAGCCCCACAAGTACCACCCACAGCTTCTAAACCATGTTCTCTTATCAGGTGATAGAGGAATGAGCTTCACAGTGTCCTCAAAGCTGGCTGTGTGTCACCATTGTCACCATCCTGACTAAGAACTCCAGTAAATAACTCCAGATCCCATCATCTCATTGCTCTATGGCATCTATGACTGTGGCCAAGTCCAGAAGACAGCAAGAATTCAATCTCAGGTAAACAGTCAAATTCTACTTTCAAGATACTCTGCTCATGCAATGAGAAAAAGCTCCTTCCTTACATTAAGACCATGCTGGCTGAACACTGATGCAAAACTGTTCAATTTGGAAACAGTGATGATGCTGCTTCTCTTCTCAAGACACAAAGTGAGACCTGCCCCAAGGTGATCAGGTCTATGACACAAACTCATTGGCAGCACAGGCTGCAGTGCTGAAGGACAACAGGACTAGCATGAGTGCTGCAAGCCTGCCCTGAAAAGCCAACTTCTCTCTATCTATGGCAAAACCATTAGCAAGGACTCCTGGATGACCATCCCAGGCAGAACATTGCAGTAGGGGTTGCAAGAAGCAACTGGGGAAGGCAGAAAACCTCCTGGAAGAGGTCACAGCTTGTGAGTTTAGCCACAGCCAAACCAGGTGAGCGTGGGACCCCAACACTGGTGTCCCCAGAAAGCAGTGCTGAGCTGGTCACAGGGAGAAGCAGAAAGCTCTCTCAGGTGAGATGAAGAAGACCACAGCTCAGGGCTGTGTGTGCACCTCAGGTTACTGCTGGTGACTGGGGAAGTCCAGCAAACACCTCTTCCCCCAGTCCCACATGCCCAGAGGCTCCACAGCACTCAGGGCTCACAGTAAAGCAGCCTGACCTCACTACGCAGAACTGCTTCCAAGGACAGATTCTGTCCTCCTCAGATACAAGAGAATGAACATTTGGTTAAAATGGACACAGGACTGCAAGGATATTTTCTCTACTCAGACCTTGCCAGATTAATTTATAAAAAGGGACAAGACAAACAGAAACTTAATATAACCCCTTAATTATCAAGTGCTGTATAACTACCCTGTCCTCTCCTAAATCTCCAACCCTGTGGATAAACCTTTGATAGGACTTCAGCAAAAACACTGAAGCATTATCACATAGGAGGCAGCCCCCTTTCCCAGCCTTTTATCAAGGAAAAGCCAAGTGAGCAGCAGAGGTCCCCTCTCCCACCCCTCAGACAATCAGAAGAACATCCCACCCCTGGGGGGGTGGTACAACTCTTCAGTCCAATAGTTATTTTATTCGCCCCTGCTCATTCTCTAAAGAAGCAGTAAAATGCCCAACCAGCTCAGAGCTGATTGTGTACAACCCTGAATCACACAAACTCGCCAGAGTATAAGGGGAAGAGAAGGGGAGAGGACTGTACTGTTCATCTCTGTTCATCCCCTCCAGATCCAGTCCACAAAGGAGTTCTGTATTCCACACACTGCACCAGCACCCAGAGCCGTTTTTATCCAGCGCGACGCCCACTGCCGGCAATGGACACGCCACAGTGGCCACGATGCCACCACGGGGGCTGAGCCATCCCAGGCCTCCTTCCCACCTCTCACTGCTGCCAGCCCAAGGAAAAAGCCAGTGTCACCTCCCTTCCTCTGGCTCGGCAGCTTTCCTGTTCGTGTCAGTCCATCTTGGCCACAGCCCTTCTGAACTGATTGTGCTGTTTTTCTATCACTTTTTTGTTTGTTTTTTTTTAAAAAAGGAGTTTCATCTCGTGTTCCGCTACGATTACAAGTGAGACAGAGTCATCCTGTCTTCCACCAGCACAACATCTGGCCCAAACTGGTCTGTGCACTGCTTCACTGTAGCCAGGATGCTGAGGAGGCGCTGGTCCAGGGCGTCCAGGTGAGGGGTGGAGAGCACAGGTGAGATGGGGTCATGCGACATGGCAGTTTTTAAGGCAGACTTCAAGACTCCATTCTTCAGGTAATTCAGCCTGTTCCAGGTAGAAACCCGGATGCTGCAAAAGAAACAAACACACATCACCACACCAGGGTCCTGCTGCATCCCACTGGGAATAGCGGCTCATCAAGAATAGAGACTCATGGCACAAGTGGTTTTGGGATGGCAGGATCCAGGTGGAACTGCATCATAGACAGGATCTAATGAAACTTGAAAGTTAAAGGTGATGAAGAATCAATCTGGTGTGATACAACTCTGATGTTACACAGGAACACTTCCAGCTGAGATCACAGAAGGTCTTCAGTCCTGAGGCCTCCTAGACGCAGTTTGGGAAGGAAAGAAAAGGAAGGAAAATCAACAAATTCAAACAAAAGTCAGGTCACTTCAGGAAGAGCATCACTGACCAATAATGAATCACAAAGGACAAAAGGCAGTTGACCAAACTTCCAAGAAAGAGAACACAGCAGTGACCTTTTCTCTTCACTGGACACTGAGCTGGTTCATGTCAGCCCATCTCAACTCTCCTGTTCTGTGAAGTCTCTTGGGATTCTCCCCTAAATCCTTCAGGACCAAATCTTTAGTACCGCTGGTCTAAACTCTTGGGTTTGATGGCTTCTAATAAAACCAGCAAAATAAACAAGTGTTGTAACAACCCTACAGTTAAAACAACTATGCAAAATAATTCTTATATGGCATTTGCCTGGTACCAGAAAGAAGGAAAATCTGAAAAGCAGGAAATTGCAAAGTCTCTTACAGAGATAAGCTTCTCCTTTGGTTGCATTTGGGGGAATCAAGATGACAAATACTCCAGAAGAATCTCAATAAAGAATGAAATTAAACATACATTTAAAATTAATGTAGGAAAATGAAAGAATTTAAAAGTTCTTTAACTACTCTCCATCTGACTTTTAAAAAGATTTGCAGAACATAGGTCAGGTGTACTGCAGCATGTAGGGAGCTGTGCTTAGTGCAAGCAAGATGAGAGTTCAGGCTTTCTGCAAAGGTCCCAGAGAATTTGGAAGAAGAACCTTTGAAGGACAAGCTTCACAGACAAGCTCCATTTGGAAGGCTTGAAGGAGTTCATATTGAAGTATCAGAGTCAGGAAATTGATATCTCAGTGTTTTTCTTCATGGAAATTTTCAGAGAATCCCAGAATGGCTTGGACCAGAAGGGACCTTAAAGAACATCTCATTCCACCCCTCCTTGCCATGGGCAGGGACACCCTCCACTAGATCAGGTTGTTCCAGGCCCTGTCCCACCTGGCCTTGGACATTTCCAGGGATGGGGCAGCCACAGCATCTCTGAACAACTTGTGCCAGGGCCTCCTCACAGGGAAGAATTTCTTCTCAATATCCCACCTAACTCTGTCCTCTGTCAGTGTGAAGCTATTCCCCCTTATCCTGTCACTGCAGGCTCTTGTTCTAAGTCCCTCTCCAGCTCTCTTGGAGCCCCTGGAAGGGGCTCTGAGGTCTCCTCAGGGTCTTTTCTTCTCCAGGTTGAACATCCCAGCTCTCAGGCTGTTCCAGAGGAGAGGCACTCCAGCCCTTGGGGCATCTATTTCCTGAGAAGTAGCAATGGCCTGGTAAGAGACTGGACACAGAACAGAAATCAAAAAGTCACAGCCTCTGAAAATAAAACCACAGCTCAAAAGGCCAAAGCAGAAAAAAAACTCTGCAAAGAAACTACAGATTTTACTTGAGAGGAGCCCCCTGAGCAGGGCTGCAGTTTTCTTTAGAAACCATGTTTGAAATGATTGAATTGCCATCCTTCACTGCTGCCAGGGAGAACTCAAGCTGGGAGGTGAACGTTGATTTGTCAGGAGCTGGATGGGGACAACTGCAGATGCAAAGTGCCTGTCACTCTGACTGTGCACAGAGCTGAACCAGTGACCTGGAGGTGACAACACTTTCTGCAGCTAAATCTCTGCCTTCATGAAAATGGACTCCTCGGCTTTTTGGGCAGTGACCATCCATCAAACAGACAATATCTCAAAAAAGTACAGCACTGTGGACCCAAGCAAACCTTTTCAGGTTGCGAGTTGGCTCCCAAGTTAATGACACTGCAAACCTAAGGCCAGCAATTACAAAAGGAAAGCGAACAGCACCTCTGTGTTTCACTTACATGCAGCACTGATAGAGAGGAGCTAAGATGCTTCTTTCATCCAGGGCAGGGTTTCCAAAGCTGAAAAGCAAAATGAAAACCAAGTGAACCAGCTGAACTCCTAAGGTTGTTCTCAACGTAAAGAGCTTTCTAAAGAATTCAGAGAAATCAATACTAAGCAATTTCATGCTCCAAGAGATCAAATCATTTAAATTAAAATACAAACAGGCCATAACCAGTCACAGATATAACTTTCATTGGCATCAGCTAAGCAGGTAAACAGATGCAGCACTGTATACCCAGTTCTCTACCAGACCAAGGCACCTTAGAGAGGCATTTCAGAGGAGTTTACAAGTGATGAGGAGGGGTAAGGAGTAACTGGTATTCTGGGCAGGCAGAATGGGAGCTTTGCCTGTCTGACACAGCTGGGCAGGGAAGGAACCAAACAGCAGCAACAGTTCACTAACAAAGTGATCAACTTAAACATTTCAAGCCAGAAGGCTTCCATAGTATTTCAAGCTTCATCTAAACACATGCTGGATTTATTTTTCATAGTTTCTTCTTCCTCATAATACTGTATTCAACTAAGAACTTTCCCCTCAATAAAGATAAGTTGCTGTAGGGGGCTGGCATTACACTGCCCAAATAATTCTGTTATTTGTAGCTTCAAAACTAATAAGCTCCAGGGAAGTGGTCATGGCACCAAGGAGCATCTGCTCTTACTCACATGGTTTAGTTTCAACAAGGAACTGAGATCAGTGATCCTTATGGGTCCGTTCCACCTTATGGGTCCGTTCTACCATAGTGCTGTGAAAAACTATCCCCTACCCATTATTTCAAAGGACTTGAAAAAACAATTTAATATTTTATTATAAATAAATGACTTAAATTTTCAAGAAAACAATTTACTGTCAGCCTGCAAAGCCCCACCAAAAATATATTTTCATAACGCCACAGGAAAGTACCATAATGAAAGGACTTGACCTTCAAACCCCATATTCACTTCCAGTGACTAATCCATTGCCTTCCTTCCTCTTAGCACATTGTCAGTGAGGAACAGAAAGAGCATTTTTGCCAAATTCACCTAAAGCAGCAGTAATTAAAGCAGCTCCAAGGTGGAATGCATCCTGCTGTCGTACTGGAGTATTACTGAACAGGCTGATGACGGGGAGGATGGATGAAAAGATGGAAGAAATCCACTATACTGAAGATAAATGGGAAAATAAATGTAACTCCAAGCCTTCCAAGGATCTCCAAGGTCTCAAGTGCTGTGTACACTTGGTACAAGTGGTGTGCAAAGCCAGAGCAGAGCCTGCCACAGGAACTGCTGGTCCTTCACAGAAGGGAAACTCACTGCCACTGCTCATGGGAGTGCCCACCAGAAAAATACATAATCCAGAATTGCTGGACTAAATTATGAGAAAGGCAAGTAGATAACCTTTATGGGTTTAAGAAAAGTTAATCAAATTGTTGTGATTTAAACAAGGCTGGTCTTCAATATGATTTTTAACCTAAACTATAGTGGACAACATACAAAAAAACTTCAGCAAGGACAGAAGAACTCATATTCTGAACAAATTTTTAAAACATTTTTGTTTGGGTAAGAATTAATGTCCACATTTAGAACATCATAATTTTTGTGCTGGGTATCACTTCTATCTCCATTCTAAGCTTTTTAACCTTTCAAAGCCAGAGTAGGCATATTCAGAAGGCAAGGAATGCCAAATTACACAGAAATACATTTTAGAAAATCTGCTTCTATCAAAGCACTCACTTATACTGACTGGTGATAAATAAAAAAGCCAAGGTTTTCAATCTTCCATTAATTAAAAGCCTAAAAGGAAAGGGCATTTCTGGGGATAGGAGGAGAGACTTGAGCAAACCTTTGAAAGTTGCTTTGGCAAATACTGTGTTAATTGGGAGGTTTCTGTAGCTTGAGTAGGACTTTGCCAAGACAGAAGAATCTCTAGAGCACAGAGTAGAATCATGGAGTCCTAGAATGGTTTGGTTGAAAGAGCTGGGTTAAAGCTCATCTTGTTCCCCACCCTGCCATAGGCAGGGACACTTCTCACTATCCCAGGTTGCTCCAAGCCCCTATCCGACCTGTCCTTAGACACTTCCAGGGATGGGGCAGCCACAGCTTCTCTGGGCAACCTGTGTCAGGGCCCCCCCACCCTCAGAGGGAAGAATTTCTTCCTACTATCTCATCTAAACCCACTTTCTTTCAGTTTGAATCCATTCCCCCTTGTCCTGTCAGCACCACAGCCTTTGAAGGGCCCTAAGATTTGGTGAGTAATTTCTGATAAAAAGGAAAGACTTTTACAGAAGATATTAAAGAATAAGTTAGAGAGAGAGAGAAAACAGAGAGACAGAGCAGATAAATGTTGTGCCCTTGCACTCACCACTGCCAGGCTGCCAGGACTGTGCCCAGGCTCACCTTTTGGCATTGTCCAGCAGGATGAGCATGCTGGCTCCCTCATCATCCTGGAAACTCTCGTAGTGGTGCCGGTCGGCGTTGCCGATCAGGTAGTCAAAGATGGCTGTGTCGATGATGTCCAGCAGGCGCGGGCCCGAGTCGTACGGGGATGTTTTCTTCACGGCGTCGCAGTAGCTCTCATCATACTCCCACCTGCAGCCAGAGAGGAACCAAGCAGCCCTTCAGGGAACCACCCCTGCACAGCAGCAGCAGCTACACTCAGTCACCTTCCAGTGCACCACGAAAGGGGAGCAGCCCAGGCTAGACAAAGAAGGAAGAGCTGGACACCAGTGTTTCATGAGAAGAGTAAACCCTGCATTAACATCCCAGCCTGTGGAGCAAGCTGTAGGTTCAGTTCAAAGACACACAAAGATCATCCTCCTACAGAAAGCAAAGTCAGAGTTTGCTTCCTCGCCACTCCACAGTGGCTGGGCTATGTTACGGGAAGATTACTGCCATGCCTTGCTTCTTCAACTTCCCACGGAACACTTCAGTGTTCTCGTTCTGTGTCTCTTTCCATTGCCTTGAGCTGTTTCCATCTGGCTTTCCAGCCATCCTCTTCCTTTTTTCTTTTTAATGCAAATATCCTCATCTGGTTAGTGATGAGCCCCTCTGTCCCCAGAAGAAGGGCTTCACAGGGGTCACTCTCCTTCACGCACAGCTGTCTCTTTCCTTCCCACTTCCTTTCAGAGTATCTCACCTTCTTCACCACTGACATGATTTCAAGCTTCCCTCTTATCTCCTTCTTCTCCTACGTGTAATCTCATAACACGGATGTCAAGTCTCAATTCTCCAAAGCTAGGATTTTAAATTTTCTCATTTTCTTCTTTACAGCTTTTAAACCTATTCAACACCACCACCAAAACAGCCAAATCTCTGGTGTATATCCTTCCCATCTGTCAACCTAAATAACAAGGACATCTTCCATGTAAGGACTGAAACAATCCTTCACAAAATAGCAGTTAAATTGGAAATGCCTTAAACCATCTGTGATTAGGAAACAGAGATGGAAGCAACACAAGCTGGAGAGACTTGCTGACATGCTCAAGACTGCAGATAGTCATAAAAGTAGGAAGATCAGAGTTTAATTACTACAACTGCCACATATCCCACTTCATCTTCTAATGATCTGGAACTAGAGATCCCACTATCCCACCTTGCTTCCAGGTATCCAAATCAGGGAGCTTAAAAATTTATCTTCTCAATGTTCTTAATAATAGGTGACACATGTTCCTCAAATGCTGTGCCTAAATCCCCCTAGAAAGAGGGATCTTTGCACCAAGGTCCAACTCACACTCAACGTGTAGCACAAATCCACACAGCAAGAGTCTCAGAACCTCTTCTTGTTCTTGATGTATTTCTTATGCTGCATCCCATTCTCCCTCAAGTGTTTATTTTTCTCTCATTTTTCTTCAGAACAGTACTTAATCTCCTTGCCACAATTTTTCAGATACACTATGCACTCTCTCATCTTCCATGCAGTCTTTCAAAAGAGACTTTTATCCAACACTCATTTCTGATAATTTATATTGTATTAGCACAGGCCTTGGAAGGTCAGGGATTTTGTCTATTACACCTCCATTAAAAATTACATACACTAATGTGGCTGTGTGAATTATGTTCAAAAGGTCATCTCAAAACAGCAGCTAGGGCAGGAAAAAATTCTTACAGAGTTATTTTTTCACAATTACAAGGCACAGAAAAGGAAGAGCATGACCCAAGAACCTGGGTCATGCTGCACATTTCACTTTGAGAATTCTGATCTCTCAAAGTGAAATGTGCAGCATGACATGGTTAAAAACATCAGAACCCTGTAACTTCATCGGAAGGAGGAAAGTGTGAGTTTAAATACACCAAATATCAAATCAGCACAGGAATCAAGGTAAACCCCTGTGTAAGCAGGCAGGGTGTGATGAAAAGGAGCCTCTCAATAGGAGCAACACCTCCAAGAAATTAATCTTGTTCATCACTGCGATGTACTGTGTACTGAACACAGCTGATTTTGACCTGCGGGGAAAGAAAAAACATCTGCTGCTCAAAACTCAATCTGTGCATTTTATACCCTAAAACAATTCAACAAAGCCTTTGGATGATATTCTGAGAAAATCACATCATCAGAAATCAACGGATACTTTAGATAAAGGACTGAAAATCTCTTCTAATCACTTCCAAGTTCAAGATAGATTTGGAAAAATTTACTAAGCTCAAACCCATTTGTTCTGGTCATGGCAGAAACATGCCCACCTCAGGAACTCAGATGTGTTACATCTATTGTAGAATGCTGCTTATAGAAGGACAAATGTAGGATTTAGCATTCTATACATGCTGAGCACGGTCACCAAATACCGATGGCATTCAAAGCAAAGGACTTTCCAGGGTGTGTTGATGTGGCACAGCCTGATTTTTTGGTAACAGGGGAAGGCCACAGGTGTGGCTTCTGTGAGAAGCTGCTGGAAGCTTCCACCATGTCTGACAGAGCCAGTCTCTGATGGCCAGCAGTGGAAGCATGACAAGTGACTCCGCAACACAGAATATAGATGGGATTTACCTCTGGGCACTGTGGGATCTTGCAACAATCTTTGAATTGGTGGAAGTAACATTGACAATGGTACCCACAAGCAGCAGTTTTCCTTTTAGTCAGAGAAGAGGAAGAAGTGAGGACATGTGAGGGAAAACAACATGGAAATACCAAGGTCAGCGGAAAATAAAGAAGGGGAGGAGGTGCTCCAGGCGTCAGAGCCAAGATTCCTCTGCAGGCTGTGCTGAGGACTGTGATAAAACCAACTGTCTCCTTTGAATGTCTCAAGTCCATCGGGGATGCAGAGCCCATGGGAAAAGTGCTCATGGCAGAGTGGGTGGATGCTAGAGAAAATTGTGGCCCAGTGAGAGACCTGAATAGAGAAAGAGGGCCCCTACTTCCAGAGAAAGAAAGAGCTTGCTTGCTCTCTCCTTGCTCCCAAACTGGAGCAGCCTATCCCTAAAAGACTGCACCCCATGGACAAGTGACCCACGCCACAACAGTTTTAGGACAAGTGTTTGCCCATAGGAGAGACTCATGGCATAGCAGAGAAAAGACTCCTCCCCTGAGTGAACAGGAAAAGATCTCCAATGATGAACTGACCAAAACTCCCACGCCCTGTCGTCCTGAGCTGCTGGTGGGAAGGAAGGAGGGGTTGGGGAGAAAAAAGGTGTTTTAAAGGCTTATTTTACTTCTCATTGTCCTTCTCTGACTCTGTTAATAATAATTTTACTATATACCTTTAAATTTGGACCTGTTTTGCCCTTAGAGTATTTTTTCCTAGTTGTTATCTCAACTCATGAGACCTTTGTTAATTTTCTTCCCTCTCCTCTGCCCAATTGTAAGAGAAGTGGGCAAGTGAGCAACTTTTGTGAGTGCCTGGTGTTTGGCCAGTGTCAAACCACAACACAGGGCCCAGCTGAAGTTAAACTAGTTCCACAACTCTGAAAACAAACCATAAGGATAATGAAATTAGGTATGGCACAGTGCTGCCACATTTCACGGGCCACAGCATTAACAGAAGGTCCAGTGGCACATGAGAAGAATCTTAGTTTGCCCGCAGACAAGATTCTCAGAGCTTAGATTGACTGCATTGTGGAGCTCTGTTCCAGGCAAAATACAGGAAAAGGACAGTGCTTAGTATTGTGGAAAATGAAGATTTTTTTTCTTCCTCATTTTAATTTAAATTTTATTCTGGACTTCTTGGCTTCTACTTTTGTAGAAGAAAGCTGTCGACACAACTGTAGGTTTTGAAAGCACTTAGAGCTCTTTAATTAACAACTGTATCTGCAAGGGTCATCTTAGTGCAAATTATCATCTGTAAAGAATAACACGGCATGTTCTCATACCTGGCCAGTTTGCCCTCCCGGTAAGTCCTGCCCCAGGGGTGCCGGTGTTTCTGGAGCGGCCAAACGTCCGGCAGCCACAGGGTCACTGAGCCCTCCATGATGTCCCCATCTGCACAGGCTGGCTCTGTCTCCCGACAATAGTAGCACTTCCCATAGAAGCAAGTGTTATTGCCTTAAAAAGAAAAATTAAGAGGTATCAAATTAAGAGGTATTAATCCAAGGAATCCAACTGAAATTCAGGAGCATGTTGTTGCAGCAGAGGTTTCCCCACAACAGGATTTTACTGCACTTGTCTTCGTGGTTCCTGTCTCTGAAAGGGAGAGGCTCAAAGGAGATTACACAAACATCCATTCATTCAGAGCAATTAAAGAGTAATGTGAAAAGGAGAGAGCAATTATATTTTCTAATAACTTTATCACTCTGAGAATTAATACAACATTACACTCTCAACAAGTTTTTGTGATCCTTTCCTAGTCCTGAGGACCCTGACTTTGCAATGTTAACACTGCTTGCTGTTCACATTTCATGCTTCATATGTCAGATTTCCCACTTACTTGAAAAAGCTGACCAAAAAGAGATAAGTGAAAAGACACACATCAGAACTTGAAGGGATTTGGTGCCCTGGAACTTGCCACAAGTCTCAGCTACTTGAGCTGACTCGGCAGAGGAGACAGAAACAAGTATCAGTCTCACATGATCTAGGAATGCAGATCTGTCAAAGCTTCAGCAGTGTCTTCTGACAGGAGAGGAGCAACAAAATGCTCCAGCCTTTAGTCCACTAACACTGATGCATCCTGTAGCATCAAGTAATCTGGAGCAGCCTGCATTAGTAGTTTTAGTTTAACACTTTCTATTTTCCTCTTCTTAACCCACCTTCGCTTGATCCCTGCCAAGTTAAATCCAGTTCCATGCTCACAGATGTTCTTCCAAAATATTCTTCAGCTATGTCTCACTTAATTGTGATTACTCCCTATCCTTTCTTCCTTTGGTTCTACGTCCAATATCCTCCCCAGAGCAGGCTCAGCTCTCCAAATTCCATATTCTTCCCTTTTCATCCTCACACAGCCCCACCTCTCAGCCAGCACTCCTTTGGAGCACAGACCCTCTGCTCCCAGTATCCTGTCAGACAACCCGAGGATGTCACAGATCATTACCAACACAGAGCTTGCAGACCAGATTTCTTATTTGTATGGAAAGCCTGCAAGTCTCTTTTCCCATCCTGGGTCTGCAGCAGGTCTAGCAAGAGACTAAATTCTTTAATATTCTAGCTGTAACTCCAGTAAACCTGCACTGAGTATGAATGAATCCTCTCTTCTTCAAAACCTCAGGATTTTGGTCAAATTTGGCCTGACAAAAGAGTCTAACCTCCTCCACAGATCCACCCATTTCTTTAGTTCCTGCTTTGCAGAACAGCAGTTCAAAGGAATCTAAGGAGGAGCAATGAAAATTTCTGGAGCCTTATTTCTCAAGGCAACACTGCTTCTAGCAAACAGCTTGGTTATCTCAACAGAAATTGGAAAATGTAAAGGCTGCCTGAGGCAGGAGCCCCATGTGAATGCCACGAGAGGCTGGAGAGGCTGAGCTGAAACTTTCATCTGGAAGTTGCACCTTGTAAGTGGCAATGTCAGGCAGCAGGTGAGCCTGCCAGCAGTGCTGCTAACAGGAACGTTACCAGCGGTAAGGAACAATCATCTCTGGAGCCTTCTGATTAGGAAATGAAACAAACAAACAAAAGAGTAATAATTGGATGGTTTATGAAAGCCTGAGGGAGTTAAAGCTGCAGCATAAGTAATTTCTTGGTGCTTAATGACCACCTGGTAGGAGTCCACATTAATAGCTTCTATTATGTGTCCTTCACAGCATTATTATTATAAACAACACAGGGAAGTTCTGCCATTGGTTGTAAATGCTCTGCAGGCTCTGATGCAGCACAAACAACATCTAATACCAACCAGTGTGTCAGCTTTAAAAATTATCCCAAATCACCACTCTCTTCACATTAAATACAACTTTATTCTCTTCTTTTCAGATCTAATCACAGACTTTTCTAACCATCTCTGACAGCAGAGAGAAAATTCTTACTCAAAAAATAAAAATCCCATCTGTAACAGCAGTATGTGGGAACACTACTTGAAGAAAACCGAGTCCTCCTCCCTCTCCAAACGGGGTTATCCAAGATCCCTCCTGGCACAGAAAGAGCTTCCTGCATCATGGTTAACTGCTCTATAGCCGTGTCAGGCTCCCACAGCTCTTTTTTCCCATTAAGCATTTTTCCTCTCCTGGGCAGCAAAGTCCATGGAATGCACTTACCCACAGTCATGAAGGTGCCCAGGAGCTGCTCCGTGGCCACTGGTTTGATCTCTGTGCGCAGATTCACAAACCTGCCAACCACCAGCGGGGCTCGGCGGAAACCCAGGATTCTGATTTGGGGTGAAAAAACACGACCTGAGAATTTGCAACACAGGCAGCAGTTCAAAATCAAAACAAAACAAAAAAAAATCCCCATAGTCTCTGTCAGAGATGACAGAGACCAAAGAGTAAAGCTGAAGCCCTGCAGCAACCTCCTCTCTTCTCCAAGGCAAAGTAAGGAAACTAATTTTTCTTATGTGCCTGGATGTTAAACTTACTTTATAGGCCATCAGTGACACTCCTTTATTAGAGCATTTGCAGCAGAGCAACAGAGGATGCACCACAATCCAACTCTCAGAACTCAGACCTCACACCAGAAATATCCATCATGTGTCTGAAACAGGCTGAAGCAGTAAAACCATATGGCCCGTGGGCTGGTCACCTGGAAAGATCATTTCTAATTTGTGGGAACCACTATCTATTAAAATGTTATGCTTAAGCCAAATTCAATTACACTTGAAAGCAACCAATCCAAGAGTTGTTTTGTTTGGCACAAGGACAGAGAAGGGAAGAGAGAATGGTAGTACAAAAGTGAATGCCTGAGAAGTGCCTGGAAAAACAGAAGTGGGAAGAACAACCATAAAACTTGCAGTTACAAGATCCAGGTTCCACTCCCATGCCTACCACAGCCTTTGCTCTGTGACCACAAATGACTCAGGTGTTTGTAATGGAATTTTAAAAGTGCTTAAAGAAGCACAAAGATCAAAGGAGTATTAGCCCCAAGTCTCTTAATGCACTTTTGACACCCTTTGGATAGTCTTTGCATCTCAGAAAAAGATCCTGAAAAGGCTCTTCTGGAAAAGGGACAACTGGACATTCCACAGATGTATTGGGAGAGTCACTCCAAAAAGTGAAAAGGATTTGTTTTAGATATTCAATGAGTAAATCACCTTCCATCAGTATAAAATAACTCTAAGAAAGGGCAACACAGAATGCCTGTCTGAACAAGTCATGTGCATCAGGACAAAACTCAGAGCCAATACCAAGCTATGCACAGCCTGAGCAAAAGCAGGTGTTCCAACAAAACAAACCCACAGCTTATATGTGGAAAACCTGCCCCTGTATTTTCAGACCCACAGGTGAGAGGACATGATCCTGGAAGGCACAGCCTCCCCATCAGTGGTAAACACACAAAATGATCCCAGATCCTTCTTGAAACAACAGCATCCTTGGAGAAGGTATTCCTGAAGAATAAAGAGCTGCAGAGCCACAGAGAAAGGCCAGAGAAAAAAGCACAAAATCATGACCAAATGAACAGCAAAAAAGAGTTAAGTGAGATTTGGACACCTGAAAGAGGCTTTGATTGAATGTTCAATCACTACTTTTTCAGGGAACCTGAAACCTGTATGCTTTTTGAAAGCACAAATGAACTGACATCTGGAATTTTTGGTCTTAATATACCCTGATCTTGGCCCACCAGCACAAGCTGGCTGTAGCAGCAATGGATGTTACTCAATTAGTTATCATCCTAGATCTTCTAATTCTTCCTAGAATTACTGATTTCTACTGCCTGTGCAATGAGTTCCACAGATGTATCAGGACTAACAAACATCTGTCACCACCTAAAAGTTTAGTCACAGTGATAAGGTTCTTATCTATGTACTGAGAAACCTCAGTTTCAGTTCAACCATTCTATCCTTTGTTATATTTTTCCCTCCTTATTCCTTTTCTCAAGATTTTATGTGTCTTCACCACCAAATCTTCCTATGAGGAAACAGAGACTGTGCTCATTTATGTTATGTAAAATTGCAGCACTAACAGCATTTCAAAACTATTGACATTCGGTGTTTGGTGTTTTCTGTCCCATTCTTTGAACATCCTATAATTTTCATTTTTTCCTGTAATTGCACCTCCAGCACAGGTCTACAAAACCACCTGGATACCCCAAGCACAATTAGTATATGAATAGCTGGTTTTCCTCTAGGATGCACTGATTCATAGTTAGTGTAGACTAAATTGTTAGTCTGGACATTATTCTTGACTTCTTAGTGAACTGGACATGAACTTAGCACAGACATTTCAGACTCTTTCATGGCATTTGGTTAAGGTCCTTCTCACCTACAATATTAACTAGAGTGGTTTCAGGGCTCATTCTCCTTTCCAAACTTTTCACAAGTATCTAAAATGTTACCCTCTTGAACAGATCTTAGAAACAAAGTTTAACAGAATAAGCTAATTCTTATTTTGGCTTCAATGTGGTAAATTGGCAGGTTAGAGGTAGCTCCCATCTGAGGTGCATTCTTCAAAGAACCCCTTTTTTCTGGTATTTTCCAAAGACAGTAAAAGCAGATAAAGCAGTAATTCCATACCTATCCAAGTGAAAGGCTGCCACTTCTGCGTTGTGTCTGTCGTAGCCAGCATAGGGTTCTCCTTCCACTATATAATCCCTGGCATATCTGGAATTGAAAGAAATCAAATGAAGTGAGTCTATGTAGAATCCCTGTCAATTTTGCTGTTCAGAGTAACAATTTAATAATAGTTTAAGAGTCTCTGGGTTACTCTGCAAGTGACTGACAATGGGAGAGTAGAAAAACATCAATGAGATTGAAGTGCCCAGACTGTTGAAGTGGTAAATAAGGAGGAAAGGTCAGTGATGTACAGTGGTCTCCAGAGCTCGGGAAGCAGTTCACATTCCAACTAATAAATTTCAATCCAGCCATATGCCAAGTCACATCTTAGAGAGAGCACAGACCCTGCTATGGAACAGGGGGCTATTTATACTGGAAAGCAGCAATTCCACAGATGATTTTGGGGTTAGAAAGAATTGTACATTAACAGTTCTCAAATACAATCTTATATTGTGGAAGAGATAGCAAACGCAATCTTAAGTAGATCGAAAATCAGCAAGCATGAACCTGAGGACAATACTGGGTATAAACAGAGCCTTTATCCTGGCAGAGAAAAGACATAATGAACAGCAAAAAATAGAAATTAGGCACTTATTGCAACAACAATGGTGTATTTTGGTGAAGTGCAAGGCTTTTTGCTACCTTTTTTATCTTATAGTAGTTGGTATTTAGTCAGGGCAAACACCAATTTCTCAGCTGCCTGACATCTGGATCAGTGTAGATACTGCTTTAGCACCACACTGCAGCTGAGTGTGAAATACCATAATCAATACTGAGCAAACGGGTGAAATGCAACATGTTTTCAAATAAAATAGGGCCAAATTAGGCTTCCTATTTTCTCATTTCCATCTGTGTATCCAATTGTTTAAACTGGATTACTTCCAGCAGAATTTGTGTTCAAGCAGTAGCAACAACAATGTAAGAGAAGGCACTGAGCTGCACCTGGTGTTTTAGCCTTGCTCAGGGAGGATGTGGGATGAGAAGACAGTCCACTTCCCCAGCCTGAGCAAATGCTTCAGCTTCTCTGCAAGGCAGCTCAACAGAGAATTCACCAGTGCAGGACTCCTGCCAAATGGGAGCTTTCACCAAACCAGCATCTTCTGTCACATATACCACCAGATGTGATGATGGCAAGTATTATATGTTAGTAAATTAGGGTGAATTTCAAGTAAATTTGAAGTGAGACAGTTAATCCTCAGAACATGTCCTCGAAGTTGGTACGTACTTACAGGTGGCTTTTGGAAACATGGTCACATTTTGAAAGCTGCAGAGCTAAAATTTATTAGTAAATCCTGACCAAACATTTTGTTTCCATGCACAGTAGGCATCTAGTCCTTTCCAGAGCAAAAGTAATGAGGGAAGTCCTCCTCCCCAGCTGGTAAGTTTGCTCAGAACTGTTTCTAGCAGTAACTTTGACAGAGCTTTCAAGTCCAAAGCTAGTTAAACAGACTCTCTTGCAGTGCCAGAACAGGACTCTGCCCACAAACCTGGCTATTCAGCAGTCACAAACAGAACCTGGGTCTACCAGGATGGCCAAGACCACCCTCTCTAGTGCTCCTAAAACATTCCCAGCTGCATGTGTCCTTGCTGGAGCACAGGGGCTGTATTTGCCTGCACAGACAGGGCATTACAGAAGGCAATTGAACTCTTGGTGAAACACTTGACTGCAGTCCATGACACAGAGAGCTCTCTGGGAATGCTGTGAATCCCCAGTGCCTCCACTGGAGATGCCTCTGGTACCACCAGGACTTGGTGTGCAAGGCTCATGCTGTCTGGACCTGCAGGGGAGCTCCAGCCAGAGCAGGAGTTGGCTGTACACAGATTTTTTTCTCATTCTCTGATCATAAAATCAGAGACTGCTTTGGGTTGGAAGAACATTTCATTCCAATTCTGCTGCCATGGGCAGGGACACCTTCCACTAGACCAGGCTGTTACAAGCCCTGTCCAACCTGGCCTCTGAACACTACAGGGATGGGGCAGCCATAGCTTCTTTGGACAACCTGTGCCAGGGCTTTATCACCCTCACAGGGAAGAATTTCTTCCCACTATCCTATCAATCCCTGCCCTCTGTCAGTGTGAAGCCATTTCTCTTGGTCCTGTCACTGCAAGCCCTTGTCCCAAGTAATTTCTCTTGAGCCCCTTTAGGCACAGGAAGGGGCTCTAAAGTCTCCCTGAAGCCTTCTCTTTTCCAGCCCCAACTCTCTCAACCTGTCTCCAAGCAGAGGTGCTCCAACCCTCAGAGCATCTTTGTAGCCTCTGCACTCACTCATTAACAGGATAGGAAACCTTAATGCCTGTTTAACCCCAAATCTTTTCTGTGATGACACTTCTCATTTGCAGTGAAATCTCCTAAAGCACACCTGGCCTTACTTTTTAACATCTTTCTTCTCCTTTTCCCCAAAGACAAACAGAAGTTCAAAAAGCTTTACAGCCAAGACTCTTCAGAAACATTCAATCGTGTCAGTTTTTTTCTGAGGATCACTGTAAACTGAGGCCATGCCAAGGAATCATCACTACCCTCCATTCTCCAGTACTCACTGCTGGCAGACAGGAGGCTCAGGGGCTCTCATTCTGACCTACCCAAACCATTTTTACAGCCTACACTCAACTACACCAGACACAGAGACGTACTTTAGAGGCCACTGCCAGGATTCCTTCCTTCCCTGCTCCTGAACTGCACCCTCTCCTGACAGTCTGACACAACAAGGAGGCAAAGCTTGTCTCCAAACTGCCAGAAGCTGCACTTCCACAGTGAGGAAGATACGGCTCAGAAACATCAGGTGTAACCAACCTCCCCTCAGGATTGAACACGGTGATTATTCTTTTAATCTAAATACAGGCTGTACTGAGCATCAAGGCTGTACAGCCTGAGAGACAGCTAATGTTACTAGAGCACCAGCAAGGCTCCATTCTGTCTCAAAAATAACAGGATGGTCTTTCCACTTACAGAAAAATTCGTAACTTAAACATTAATGAGACATCATGGAGAAAAAATGAATAACATTAATGAGACATCATGGAGAAAAAAAAATGAATATTTTATGAAAATATATAAATGAAGTAGTTATTAATGCAGTCATTGAAAGCAGTATTTACCTCTTGGGCTTGAAGACAACCTTCTGTCCTCCTTCAAGTATCAGCAAAGCTTTCAGCTGCGTCCCTTTGTACCCCACATCAGCTTTGATGATCTTCTTGGTGGTCATGGCGTGCATGACAGCGCCCAGCTCGGGGGTGTCCTCGGGGTACACCTCGCGGGGCACCACCCACTGCGCCGCGATCTCCCAGGGCGACTGCAGCGTGTGCTCCAGGCGCGGGTCCAGCGCCACGCGCAGCCCCGCCAGCATCCGCTGGAACGCGCGCTGGTCCTCCCGGTTGGCAGCCGACGTGTCCAGGTTGTCGATGAGGAAAACCTTGGTGAAAATGAAGATGACGAGGAGGATGGCCAAGAGCACAACTCGCTGCTTCAGCTTCATGGTGCCTTTCAGCCCTTCTCCCCTGACCCTTTCTTCCAAGCGTTACAGGAAGTCTGTTGGAGATCAGGATGAGGAAGGGGATGTTAGTTGATGAATTTCATGCCTAACTTGCATTGTAAAAGATGTATCACCACTGAAGCATCTCCTGGTACCCCTAAAAATAAACAAAACATAAACTTACAATCCCGCATATCCCACCAAACTCCAAGTCAAGTTTGCGGTTGGAACATAAGCCTGCATTCGTGGAAACCCATATCCTAAAGCCTGAACACTTTGGTCAAAACACACTGGGTTTGCTGCCTTCCTGCAGCCTTTCTATGATCTGCACAGAAGGGGAAATTGCCAGATAGCATCTCTGCACAGCTGAAATCATAGCAGCTGCAACCACCACAGGCAAGACTTTTGCAGGGAACTGTAGTTTAATGTGACTGCTCTAATTTCACAAGCACTTCTCCACTAGTGCAAGATCCCATGATTGCTGGTGTCCTAAAGATCTATCCCTCAGAAAAGCTCCCAGGTCGATTTTAAGACAGCTTACAACAGTGAGAACAGCTGCACAACCTTCTTTCTTGAAGGTACAAGTCATAAGGACAGAATAGACTTAATTGTTTATTGCCTTTCATTTACTGCCACTATAATTTACTCAGCTTTTTTTCCATTCTTAAAAAAAAATGAGCTGGGGTGGGGGATGGCATCTTTACTTCCTCATAGTTAACTAAGTTCCTTCTGCATTCAACTGTGAAACCCATAACCACAGAAAACATACAAGGTGTCTGCAATCTCAACCAAATTAACTAGAAAAAATATCCCAGACCACTAACCCTTGCCTGTTCTCAGCATCCTCACCTACAACAGTTAAAAACAAATCTGTTTCTACATTGGCCTGCAAAACACATCTGGCCCTTCAAGAAGCCTTAGGCAGGGCAGTGTTTGCATGTAAAGACCAGAGAACGCACCATCAACTGTATTCAGTTATAAAGACAGAATTACCTTCCTAGTATTAGCTGAATGCAGCCAAAAGCCAAACAGAAAGGGGACATGAGGCACACTTCTGAGGGGCACTGGGAGCCAGCACGAATTTCTCTTCACCAGCCACACTGATCATGCAAACCTCAAACAGCTGGGGGGGGGGGACTGACACAGAAAAGCCTTCTCGTGCGATTTAACAATAAGTGTACAAATCAGCCATAATTAATCATGGCACTGGAAAAAAAGAGCTGCCACAGACTCATTTACCAGCAGCAACCACAGGACAGCTAGGCCATGCCTGGCGAGGCACACACAGGTCACAGCCATCAGTGCAGAATCAGGCTGGCACGGTGTTAAGTGTGTTAGTATAAAAGCAAATGCAAACCCACAGAGGACTCCACAGCACCCAGAACAAATTTCCATGAGGTCTAGAGCAGACCCACCCAGCCACACAGCTCTCCCACATCCCTGTCAGCACTCACAGCAGGACAGAGACCCCAGCAAGAGCAGAGACTAGAAGCCTCTGGGATGCTTCAAACTAGAACCACGGTCTTCTGTTAACTGTGTAATACTGATTTTACTCTGTTGGAAAATAACTGCTTGTACTCATACTGAAAGAGAATGAATCACATGTTTATATGGAAATTAAAGCATATTATTCTGCTTCATCTAGTTCTGTTTTGGCAGCCTGTTCTTCTCCAGACAGCACTGCCACCTTGCACATTACCCACTGCAAGTACAAGAATGTGAAGCACAGACAAGGAAGATGCACCTGACCCAAAAGCTCTCATTCCTGCAGATAGACTCACCCAGGAAGAGATCCTTAAATAATAATCACATTATTCTTAAACTTAAGCAGACAAGCAAAGCGGACTGGCTGCACCCGCACCCTCACATTTTAACTGCATAATTCACCTCTTTAAAACCACTAATTCTGAATAATTTTGAGCACTGCTTCCATTCATTTGTAAAATCCACTACAGTTTGCAAGAAGCTAGGCAGAAGAACAGAGGTCATTTCAGAACACTTACTCCTCGCTATGGGATATGTACACACACATTTGAAGAAAGCCTCGCAGCCCAGCGCTGGCTGCCTAAAGCACTAAAGCTCAGGGCAGGATGTTCCACACCTCTGGAGCTCAAGATGAGCACTCACTTTTCTAGACTGATTTCCAGGAATGCTGAGTTTCTCTGATATTCTTCCTGGGACTCGTGGGGAGAATACAACTTCAGTCACTTAAAATAAAGGTAATTTACTTAGTTTATCTTTTGTCATGGCTTTGAAACTAATTTTGGCTGAAACCCTCCAACGAGGTAAAGAGAATTTACAAAAATAAATAAAATTCAATATTTAACTATTTATTTGCTGGTGAGTGGGCTCTCACGTTTTAGTGACATCTGAGGACATGAGTCATCTGCTGCTTTCCTCCAACAAACACCAAAGCAACCCCGAGGTTGCCATGCAATCAATTTCCCAGTGCTCCACGCACAGCCTGCACTTTGCTCCTTGGTGCCAACATGACACTCTCTGCTCTGCAAGACACGGGAATTGAATCCTTTTATGAACAAATTTACCATGGACAGCAAGAACTTGAGTTTATTGTTTTAAATTGAAGATGGCAAGGGTGACAGCGTTGAGGCGATGTAAGAAAATATTTATGCCGTTTTGGAAGAAAGTCATTTGAAAAAGACAAGTCTTTGGCAAAGGCTTGGAATGGAGAGGAAGATTATGAGAACTCCAGAAGTGTCAAGCTGGAATGAGGAATGGCCCTGGAATGAGGTCAGAGATGAGAAAAGTGAAATAACAATACACCACCAAAATTTTAAAAAGAACAAAATAAGGTGAGTGTGAGCAGAACTCTGTGCAACGAATGGCAAAAGGGTCTTAGACAATGACAAAAGTAAACCCAGTCAAAAAGAGAAAACAGCCAGAAATAAACAGCCCTAGCAGCTTTTTAATGCTGTAGCTAACTGCAAGGTTTGCATAAGAAATGCTTCTTGTTTTTCGATACCTCTTTGGGAAATTTCCTGATCAATTTTTTCTCTTATTACAACCAGGTCTGTATTCTCAGCAAGTATGAGTTTTCCAACTCAATATACAAATAACAGCATCTCCTCAGTATCATGGTGGGGTCACTGTGCACACAAACACACGAATTAAAGCAAGTCTTCTGGCATTAAATACCAACATCAGACCACTTCACTCCCAGTTCAAAAAACAGCATGCAATTTGCCTGCGACAAAAATTACAGCTACTATAAGCAGCCAACAAAGTTACCAGAAAAATCCCACACGACATTTTTTATTGGAGTCACAAAATCAATGGCGTGCCTCATAGCCTAATATTACAATCTTATTTTTATATCATAAAGCTTTTTAGCTGCTATGTCAAAAATACTTGTGTGTACAATTTGCCAGGATTTCACTATGCTCCAAGTCACAAATCAGGTCTGGGGGCATGCAAAGGTTTAGTTTGGCAGCACAAATACGCAAAAAATCATACCTCAAGCAGACACTGATCTGAAATGGATATGGTGGAAGTAGAGTCTAATTCCCATTTAATGCATGGGGTTTTTCTTATATACACTATACCTTTTGGGATCACCTATCAAAAGGCCTTTAGAAGTTCTCCAGTAAATCCTGGAAAACGCCTTGAAGAAACATCGTATACAGTAGTGACATTTTCCTCTTCCCAAAACATCCTTCAGTCTCACCAGATCAATCTTCCTTCCTATCCTCCCCTCTCTGGCCAGTTCCTTGGTGGCTCATGCTTGCCTTCTCTGTGTGAGCCTTGTTATTCCAGTTTCCACAGGCAGGCTCCCACAGACCTCTCCTTGGATTTCTCAGACTCATTCTGTCACTTCCACTCTCTGTGTGCTGCCTGCCCTGTGTACAAGTTTAGTCATCTAGTGCTCAAGGCTTCCCACGTATTTACTTGTCTGCTGTTTCTCCATCTCCTTTCCTCTTAAAAACCTCATTATCTACAGGCAAAATGTGGCACAATCTACACTCAAACTTTCCACAAACACAACTGCACCCCTGGTTGAGAGCTGCAATACTGATAAATATGAAAGACCACAAGCATTTTAACCACTGCAATATCTCTGCCTGCAGCTGCAACAATCAGGAACTGCCTGAAATATTCTCACACAGCTTTGGAAAAAGCAGAATAATTTTGTCCATCTGTCTGCCCACCTTGGCCTGTTATAACTTTAGAATCTGTCACCTGCATTTCTGCCAAATTTGTCAGAGGACTACTTGCATGAGCTTTATAAAAACCACAGGCCAGATAGAGGACAGAAGCCTTGAGAAGTCAAGGACAAGTGGGTAAATATCCTGAATCTTTCCCAGCTGCAGGCACAGCAAACAGGAACACCTGACTCAGCTAGCTGCACAAATAAGGACAGGGTGGATTGGGATACAAGCGGCTCCTGGGTGCAGCCCTGAGGAAGGAGAAGCCACCAGGCACTGAGGCCCATGGGAGCCAGGCAGGAGTTGCTGGGGTAGGATGTGGCAAACAACTCCTCAAGAAGCCCGGCTGCATTAATCCTCCTTGCAGAATGACTTTCCACCAAGCGCTGTTTCCTATGGAAACAAAGTTTATATAATCACACTTTTCATGTAGATCTACCAGCTAATTCCAAACACATCTGAGAGGACAGAAGATGTTTTGAAGACAGGGTTTATGTGTTTATTGGAAGCTGGCAGCCAGGGGTGCTGCAGTGTTGGCTCAACAGTTGTCTGCTTGCCTTGGCCATGTAGGCAACCCAAGAGCACACAGCTGGTAGGGGCGGGAGCTGGGAATGCCACGTGGGCAGGGAGGGATTGGGAACACTGAAATGGGGAATGGTACAGGACAGGGGCTGGAGCCAAGGGCCCTGATACAGAGGGTGCTCGGACCTGGTCAGAAGACAGCCAGAACAACTCTCCCTTGTTCCCATCCCAGTTACTGACATTCCACCTGACCACTACGGGTCAACAAAGCCAGCTGGAAATGCTTTAGGGAGCCTTGTTCCACTTGGAAATGAAGCCAAGGCAGTGAGAAAATTCTGCAGTTTCCCTTCTCCACTTGACATGTTTATTCATCTCCTACATAAGATTGACATTAAAAATTCAATGAGGGTCCATGTACCCATCTGGATTTTAGCAGTGATGAGCCTGTCTCTGCTGTAGGATGGTACCAATCAGCCTCCTCCACTCCTGAGGAGAGGCAGTGGGATTTTGGTGTCAGAACCAAGCTGACGACTTTGTACCACGAAGCAAAATAAACTTTGTACCTCAAATGGAGGCAAATCTTGTAGTGACTGTGTAGGTCAGACTTAAGGACACGATGGGTGCATGGAGTCATTTTCAAATTAAAAGAAAACACAAAAATGCCTGTTCTGTAATAAATACTAGGTGGGCTCACAATGAACCCACTGCAAACCTACATTTTAAAGTTTACTCTGCTCAACCCCTAAAGAACTATGGATGTCGTATGGCCTCAGAAGGTACAATGAAACAGCTGCAGTGCTTATGCACATCTGTATCCAGAAAGGATCCAAAGAGAGATATCCTTTAAAAAGGGTTAAAGCCATGCCTTTGACAACCACAGTCAGCGCTTCTATGGCCACACACTGTATTTTTCCACCAGTGGACAACGACCTTCGCCAAGCTGCGACTGGCACTCGGTGAGAACCCACAGAGCACACGGCTGTTCCCAAGGGTTAACAGATGGCCAGAGAGGCTTCACAGCTGTACGGGGCTCCGTCCCCAGCTCAAAGCCAGCATCCAGAAGAGGAACGAACGGCAGGAGTGTAGATAAAAATCCCCATCTGCCAGAGCCGCGTCCGTGCAGCCCCCGCCGACCAGGGGCGCAGCCGGGGGTGTGCGGGGCCGGAGCCGCGGCTCGGGCCGGACCCGCCAGGAAGGACGTGCAGGTGCTGGAGCGAGTCCAGAGAAGGAACAGAGCTGGGGAAGGGTCTGGAGCACAGGTCTGGTGCTGAGGGAGCTGGGCGAGCTCAGCCTGGAGAAAAGGAAGCTCGGGGGGATGGATCTCTTCGCTCTCCACAACTCCCTGACAGGAGGTTGTGGCCAGGTGAGGGTGGGCTCTTCCCTCAGGTAAAAAGCCATAGGACAAGAGTACAGAGCCTCAAGCTGCGCCAGTGGAGGTTCGGGTTGGACACGGGGAGGAATTTTTTCACGGTAAGGGTGATTAGACATCGGAACGGGCTGCCCAGGGAGCGGCGGAGTCACCGTCCCCGGAGGTGGGTGAGGAAAACCTGGACGTGGCACTCGGTGCCGTGGTCAGGTTGACAAGGCGCTGTTGGGTCAGCGCCTGGACTCGCCCATCTCGGAGGTCTTTTCCAGCCTCACTGACTCCCTGATCCTGTGATTCTCCCGCCGCCGGTGCGGCCCCAGGGGCCCCTCCGCCTCCTCCCTGCCGCCGCCAGGCCCGGGAGTCCCTGCTGTACCCGCCCCGGGCCACAGCAGCGCCGCGTCCCGTCCCGTCCCGCTCCCGTCCCTCAGGCGCCGCCGGCCCGGCCCCGCCGCCCGCGCCCGCCGCACTCACCGCGCCCGCCGCCCGCCCGCCATGGCCCGGCCACCGCCGGCCCCCGCCAGTCCCACAACATGGTGCCGCCCAGAGCCCCGCTCCCGCCTCCCAGCCAATGGGCGCCCGCCCCGCCCGCCGCGCGCCGCCCGCCCGCCAATCAGCCGCCAGCGCTGCCCTGGCCGGGGAGACGCGGCCGGGCGCCTCCAATGGGAACGGCGGGGGGGGCGCCCGGCAATGGGGCGGCGGCAGCGGCGGTGGGGTTAAGCCGGCCCGCCCGCCGCCGGTGCCGCGGCGCGGCTGAGGGGAACATCCCTGGCTTTAGAGGGGAAGCAAGCGAATGCACATGTGTCACACACGGTTTTCAAATGCATATGGAAAATACTTAGCTGTGTTTGCGCGCAGCAGCGCTCCGCGGGAGCGGGATGCTGTGGCAACGGGTCCTGTAACAACGCGCGCCGCCGTCAGAGGCACTTGGCTCCTCGCACTTTGGAATTACAGAATTCTAATTTAGAATTACAGCCCTCTTAAAGAGTATTATTATACTATATAGCCCCATTACACTACACGTTATGACTACATGCAATCTCGAGCAATACACTTCCTTTTATAATCTAGCACCAATAAATTGGATGCTATTCAACCATAACATCAATAGAATTTTATCTCTCCCCGTTCAACTACAAATAACGTATTAATTTAAGATTTCCCCCCGTTCAACTACAAATAACATATTAATTTAAATTTCCCCTCTACGCTCACACACTCCCAGTATAAAATAACGCTCCAGTGTCAATTCAATCTGGCAGGCAGCGCTGGAAGTTTGGCAGGGAATGCGCAGCTGGTGCAATGCCAGCCTGTCTCAGCAGGAGCCTCCACCCAGCAGCACCGAAATGTGCTCGCAGGAGCCACGGCAGAGCACGGGGCTCACGGATATTCCAGTCCTGCACACACCCACCGCAGCTACAGCCCGTGCATCCCCTTCCTCCACAGCTCCTCACCGTTTTCTCCATTGCTTCTGCTCCACTTGCTGTTCCTCATCCTTTTTTGGTCCGTTTTCACAGAATCGTTTAGGCTGGAAAAGACCGAGAGATAATTGTGTCCAACATAGTTGACTGCAGTAGCTTGGGCTGCTTTAACACTGGAACAAATGCTGCACTTGCAGACTGGCCTGAAGTGGAAAATAAATGTATTTCTTTCCAGGAATTTTCCCATTCCTGCCTCCATTTTTAGGACTCGGAATGAAAACTTTTAATGGGACTTTTAAAAACCCTTTTGAAAAAAAAACCCCAAAAACAACCCATACCTAGTGCTTTATGACTTCCTGCTGAAAGGTTCCAAGTGCCTCAAGAAAACATCTTTGCAGACATCCACACATCCACACTCAGGCTACTTCTCTTGTGCAATGCTATTGATAGAAGGAAAGATACTTAAACATATAGATATATAGATATTAATAACACAGTTTCATTGTTATGGACTGCTCCTCTGCCAGCTCCTCACCCAATTAAAGTTTTAAACCTAACTACAATCTCAGCTTTCATTATTAATTAGCATGTTAATATTTAAGTGCTGAGCAATTGTCTACAGCTATAGATACATTATGGGCTAAGCATTGGACAAGTGCATCAGGTTACAGACCAGGCATGGGGCTGGGGGTGTTGGGTAGCCAGGGACCAGCAGGACACAGGGTGGTCATGAAAGGCCATCATCTTCCAAAGCTGACAGGCAGGAGAGCTTTGTTATCCCTTGCCAAGAGCAGAGCCCAGGAAGATCAAGAGAAAGAGCTGGAATAAGGAATAAGGACTGTCTCAGGCTGCAGAACAAGGTCTGGCTGGGGAAGAACAACAGTCAAAGAGCCATCTCAAAAGCTGTGGGAAGGAAGCCATAGAGGCTGTGAAATAATTCTATCTGCTCCAGGAAAACCTCTCCATGCTCAAAAGGAGAAAGCTTTAAATCAACATACACTCTCACCAGATACTGCACAGATCTTCCTATTCAAAGAGCTGTGTGATCCTGGCAGCGGGCTGAAATAAGATTTATACAATATAAAAGAGATTCCTGAGTCAAAGATGACACTTAGACCTAGCTAAGCATGTTAAGCATGGCTTTGCAGAAGATACCTGTATAAAATAAAGCCACGTGTTAATAAGCTGAAGGCACAGAAATAATTTGAGGCAGGGTGCCTCTGAGGTCAGGTATCAAGCACTGAGTCTTGGATGGAAACTCTTCAGCTGAAAAGGTGCCACCCCAACTCTCTTCCTCCCTGCCAGGCACTGGAGAGACAAACAGGGGTCATTGCCTTGACTTACCCAGGAGGAGGAGTCCTCAGATCCTGTAAAGTGGGAACAGTGAAAGAGCATAAGAGACACGAGACAGACACCAGGGAAGGACAGGGCAGGTGGGCTGAGGAGCACTTAATGTGCAGCAAGACTTCTCACACCAGTGTGAGAAATTCACTCAACTCAGAACCCAACTCAGTGCCCACCTTCCCCTGCTTTGCCTACAGTGTGACCTGTGGGGAAAAGGGAGGGCCACAAGCTCATTGCTCAGTGGAAAGGCACCACAAGAAAGCTTTCACTGGGACTACAGCATGGCAAAAGGGTCCCTCAGCACATTGTCAAAAAGGCCAGACCCTTAGTACTGGGATTAGATGGATGGAACCCAGGTTTGGACAATGTGTAAACCCTCAGGAGTCCCCCAAGCACAAACCCCCAAGCATGGCTGTACTGACTCAGTCCAGGTGACCTCCTAATCAGCTGCCAGCAGCTTTGCCTGCACCTGAGGAGCAGACAGGCCAGGTCAGGCTGGCTCTTCCCTCCTGACCTGTCCAGAGAGAAGGACAGCAAGAGACCTCCCTCTGCAGATCCAGCCCAAACTACTGCTGCTGGAGCTGCTGCAGCTCCATCACTTCATCAGTGAGCACATGAAGTCACTAGCCCCAAATGTCTGCTGCTGAGAATTTCTGCCTCATGACTCCTTAACCTGTTCCAGGGAAAAATCAACAGGGTTAGAGCCACCTGGGTGATTTTGCCTGGAGATTAGGAAATGCACACCCCAGTTCCTTCCAGATGATGCTGGATACAGGAGTTGCAATAAGAAACTACACGTGTCAGTATTTTAACAGAACACCACACCCTGTACATGAAGTAAAAGCAGTTACACGAGGCATTAAAATTCTTTTTAAAACTGTCAGGCTTATTTATACAGTTGTAAGTGCGTAATTAAATATTTGGGATATTTTTTTTCCTCCAAAACTGTGTTTAACTGGAAAGACAAAAACACACATTTAACATTTAAATTTCCTTAATTGCTTTTAAATGTCACCACAAATTAAACAGTGTTTATTCACTGTCTAATTGACAGCACCACGAAGACGTCACCTCTCCACCTGAGCACAAAGGCTTTAAGGGAACAGCAATGCACATTTGCATTGCACAAAGCTGATTTTATTCTCCCTGCCTCCTCATCTCCTATGTACCTTTGATGGCCCTGTGCCTGCTCCTGCCTATTCTCCTGCATGAGAGTTTATAATCCCAACTTCATTCGCTGGAGGAGCAGCCACCAGCTCACTACAGACCAAGTGTCCTTGTGGAGAGGGGGAAGAGTGCTGGTCCCTTGGGAAAAGGGAACCAAGAGCAGTTAAACAAAGCCCAGATGTTTGCTGGGATCCTATAGAGGACAACAAACTCCCCTCTGCATCCTTTCACCAGAGACTGTGTCAGGAGAAGACAGAGAACTTGGGGATCATTAACATCTCATCAGAGCTGCACGTACTGGAAATCTGACAAGGGCACTGGAGTGGTCATTTCAAATCGACTGAAACTGGATAAAATAATAATTTTTTAAAATCTACTTTTAAAATCCAGAGTAATTTTAAGTTAAAGTACAAGACTAGTTTGGCAATTTCATGAAGCATCAGTGCCCAAAATCAACTTTTGTAAAGTAGAACCCCTGCCCATGGCAAAGAGTAGGAACTAGAGGATCCTTTAGATCCTGTTCCAACTGAAACCATTCTGTGATTCTATGAATAAAAGCAGTGGGCATTGTTCTGAGCCTTCTGTAAAATATTAGGGTTCAGCACATCCTGGGAAAAAGAAAGGGAGAAGAGAGACAGTCTTGCTTGGAAAGCAAACTCCACAGAGACAGATGGTGCCAAGGAAAAGGGGCAGTAACCACAGTGCCAAGATTTTACCTTTCTTTCACTCTAGAAATAATAGAAGTGTTTGAGGTACTGGATTAAAGCAATTCTCAAGCTTCTCACAACAAATGAAGCTCTGTTCAGCTGAGGGGTCGAAACAAGTCACTGTGTTGTGACAACATGCCACCCAGGCTGTTGTGCATCTTCTTTTGTACCTGGTATCTTCTCTGTACTCTTCTCCAAAATATCTCCAGATATTTAAATCACAACTCGCTGACTTCAGAGCAAGCCAAGTAAGCTGTGCAGTGACTCTTATGGTTCTTCCTGTCACTTTCTCAGGTTATCACCAGAACATGGGGATTTAATTTTAATGTGTGACCTTTATCATATTCCTGGTATGAAAGTCCTTCCTTCTTCATGTGAGCCTCCTGAAAGAGAGGGGTCACAGCAAAGATCCTGAACACAGCCTTAAGAACTGACCTGGAGAACTTCTAAGTCATTTAACCTTGACCCCAACTTGGCTGCTACAGAATGAGAACTACTTTCATGAAAAAGGCTTCCAATTCCTCTCCTGGTGATTCAGTTCATCAATCAAATTTACGCAACCTTACTAAAGGCATAATTGATGCTGAGTGTCCTCCATGGCTACCAGCTGACACTTCCTTACACATAACCCCCTTGATGGTTTCCCTTCAGGGCTGTAGGTAACTGCTGCAGAATGCAGGGTGAATTCCCCTTTTGCTCAGAAAGTTGTGATGGTGTTCAATGGCAGCAAATTCCAGAGACAACTGATTGCCCCTCTGTGAACAGCAATCCTCAGGATCAAAGGTGGTTTGCCATTGTGACCTCCATGCAAAGCTGTGGATATCATATCTGGAGCACAATCAGGAGAACTTTCAGTGGGGTAAAGACAAGGAGGGAGCAAGCCCAGTCTTTTTGGAGCTAAGCTAT